GGGGGGTGCTGGGGGATTTTGAGGTGCTCGTGGGGTTTTTTGGGGTCCCCATGACCCCTTGGTGCCCCCCAGGACGACGGTGACGGAGGAGTACCGGGTCCCTGACGGGATGGTCGGCCTCAGTGAGTCTGGGGGCCTGGGGAGGGGGCTTCAGGGTCCCAGGGGTTTGGGGACCTCCGGGAGAGCCTTGGGGACACCCCCAAACCCCGCTCTGTGTCCTCCCCCCGCAGTCATCGGCCGTGGCGGGGAGCAGATCAATAAGATCCAGCAGGACTCGGGGTGCAAAGTGCAGATCTCCCCAGGTAGGGGGACCTGAGGCCCCAAAACCTTCCTGGGCTCCCCCCAAATTACAGGGGACAACCCCCAGACCCCCCAAACGCGGGGGGACCCCGCTGACACCCCCGTGCCCCCCCCAGACAGCGGCGGGTTACCGGAGCGCAGCGTGTCCCTGACGGGGTCCCCGGAGTCCGTGCAGTGAGTGACCCCAAAACCTCCCTGGGAGCCCCAAAACCACCCTTAGAACCCCAAAACCGCCTTGGGAACCCCAAAACTACCCTGGGAACCCCACAAAACTACCCTGGGAACCCCACAAAACCACCCTGGGATCCCCACAAAACCACCCTGGGAACCCCAAAACTACCCTGGGAACCCCAAAATCGCCTTGGGAACCCCCAAACCACCCTGGGAACCCCAAAACTGCCTTGGTAACCCCAAAACCACCCTGGGAACCCCCAAACCGCCTTGGGAACCCCACAAAACCATCCTGGGAACCCCAAAACCACCCCGGGAACTCCAAAACCACCCTGGGAACCCCAAAACTGCCTTGGGAACTCCACAAAACCACCCTGGGAACCCCAAAATCACCCTGGGAACCCCAAAACTGCCTTGGGAACCCCAGAAAACCATCCTGGGAACCCCAAAACCATCCCGGGAACCCCAAACCCCTGCCAGAACCCCCTCAGGGACCCCCAAAATAACCCTTGGGGACCCCAAAATGCTCCCTGGGACCCTCAGCCTCTCCCTGGGTCTCCTCAGTGACTTCCAAATCCCCCCAAGCCCCCAGCGACCTCCCCAAATCCTGCTCAGCTCTTCCCAATCCCCTCCAGATCTCCCCTAAACCTC